TTCCTAATTATACATTACATTTTTAAATGAACTACACAATCACAATACCTTAATCAAGATCAAAAATACATATACATATAACAAAATTGACCTTAAAATCCATACCAATGCAAATTATTCATATCTATATCATATCCCCCTTTAAATGTAAAAGAACATTTATAAACAATATTTGGGAACATGGGCGTAGTTTTTTCTCTCCAAACTGCTTCCTGCTGAATAGGGGCGTCGTTAATTAGGTCGTTCATGGTATAACCTGTGTGCTAGTTTCATCTCAGTTGGCAATTGAGCGAAGCAATTTTTTGAGGGTGTTCACAGCAACCTTTCAGGAGGGCGTGGTCTATCATACCAAATCGGAATAGATGCAATCCACAGGGTCTCATCCTCTGCAAAAACAAAAGAAGACCCTCTCCAAAGCATCATATCCTTAGACCCAAATTCTGAAATCATAATACCCTCATGATATCCATTTTGGTTTAGCTTGGCAGCCCATATAATGAAATGTCTCTCTGTACTTAGCTCCTTCACAGTCAAAAATTTTAAAGAAAACACAATGTACATAATCCAGACTCTCTGTGAATTTTCCATTTTTACGTGGCTTATTTTTCTTTATTTCTCTTAATCTATAACTATCTGTACTTCTGTACTCTGTCTCTTTAAAGACTTTACCCTTTTTCTTTTTAAGACATTAACTTTATTCTTTATATTCTTTTTCTTCTCTTTCCCAAGCCTACGTACATTTATCCAACAGTGTCTGAATCTGTTTTATTGTGAATCTGTAATTTTTTTACTATCCAGGAGCATTTCTTAAAATGTTAAGCATTTCTTAAAAACTTAAGTTGCACCATGTACAGGTAATACGGTACTGCCTGTGTCCTGCCCAGTCTAAACCTTAACTGCACGGTTTTAAGGTAATTACGGTAGTTCCTGCCTGAGATCAGCACAGTTCAGCATGGAGCAGCCGCTCCTGCCTCAGAGTCATTTGGTGCTTCTGAGCTGAGCACAGTTCCAGGCACACAGCAGTTCACATTGGAGCCGCAATCAGCAGTTTAATTCTGAGACTGAGTGTGCAGCACAGAAACTCTTTTCATCCAAGTTACAGCCAAATCTGACACGCAGAGCACTGCGCAGTCTGAAAATGCGTCTCTGTATGGCGGCAGGAATCCGCCATGCTCTTCCGCCTGCCTAAGCCTGATTCTGCCGTCTGCCCAGGTGCAGGCGGGAAGCGCTGAGCCATCGGCACGGTCTCAGAGCACTCTCCTCCGATCCCAAGCGGGAACACAAACATCCAGTCCCATAAAAGCCTTGAAATGCTTTAAAGCCAGAGTTCACGCTGGCAGTACAGCCCCAGGAAGCCGCGCTTTAAAATGACGCAGCTTTTTTTCTCTGCTGCTGTTGCTGAATCAGGAATCTCTCTACAGCACGCCACCAACAAAACAGCAAAAATCTGTGTTAAACTCTCTCTCCCTTATTTTTAAGCCTTCTCAGGTTTTTAAGTGGATTTAGCCCATCACGTCTGGGCGCCATCTGTTGAAATAGGAGCGGCGGCAGGGCTGCGTCCCCGGCACCCGGCCGCCCGCATGGCTAGCTTATGCCCAGAAATAATTACACGGAAACTGTATTCTTTCAAACACTGCCTGGCCCGGATAGTTCCAGTTCCTTATGGCTAGCTCTTACATATTGTTCTAACCCATTTTTAATATTCTGTGTAGCCCACGAGCTGGCTTACCAGGGAGGATCTTAACCTGCGTCTGTCTGGAGCGGGAGAACCATGGCGACTCCTCACACAGCTTCTTTTTTCCAGCATTCTCCTCTGTCTACTCCGCCTACCTAATTTTTTATCCAATAAAATGGGCCAAGGCAGTTTCTTTATTAATAAGAAATCACTCCCACATCATTTTTCTTTTATTTATTATGTATACAGTGTTCTGTCTGCATGCCAGAGGAGGGAACCCGATCAAATTATAGATGGTTGTGAGCCACCATATGGTTGCTGGGAATTGAACTCAGGACCTCTGGAAGAGCAGTCAGTGCTCTTAACCACTGAGCCATCTCTCCAGCCCCATTTTTTCTTTATATAAATGATAGCTTGTTATGTATACTATTTGAAGTCTTGCATTTTTAATGTTTTCTCTCTCTATATTTTTTTAAATGTGTATGGTTGTTTTTCTCTGCATGTATGTCTGTTCATCATATGCTCCCTCAGAGTCCAGAAGAGAATGTTGGATCCCCTGCGACTGGAGTTACCATTTGGGTACTAGAATTGAACCCAGGTCTTAGGGTCAGCCCAGTATTCTTCTTTTTAAATTTTTATTTATTTATTAAATTTAGGTTTTTCAGGACAGGATTTCTCTGTAGGTTTGGAGCCTGTCCTGGAACTCTGTAGACCATGCTGGCCTAGAATTGAACCCAGGTCCTAAGGTCAGCCCAGCATTCTTCTTTTTAAATTTAATTAATTAATGTATTTATTTAGTTTTTTTCAAGACAGGGTTTTTCTGTAGCTTTGGAGCCTGTCCTGGAACTCTCTCTATAGCCAGGCTTGCCTCTAACTCAGAGATCCACCTGCCTCTGCCTCCCAAGTGCTGGGATTAAAGGCGTGCACCACTACTGCCTGACATAAACAGTATTCTCACCCTTTGACTCATCATCATTTCAGCCCCTGAGTGTTTCATTTTTTACTTCCTGTTATATTTTCATAATTGCATACTGTCTTTATTTTAACTCCAGTACTTACTGCATACTTACAGTGCCTAGTGTACCAGGCTTTTTCTTTTAGGCCACTAACCAGCTCCCAAATCATGACAAAGACACTTTTACCTCTCTTCTTTTTTTGTAATAGTTTTATTTAATCTTATTTTATGTGCATTGATGTAAGGGTGTCAGATCTCCTGGAACTTGAGTTACAGACAGTTGTGAGCTGTCATGTGGTTGTTCGGAATTGAACTTGGGTCCTCTGCAAGAGCAGCCAGGGCTCTCTTCTCAGCCAGGGCTGAGTCATCTCTCCAGCCCCTCTTCTATATATTTTGCTTTCACTGCTTCTCAGTATACCTGGCTAGTGGCTGCCTTGTTCTCGCCTCCTTTTTTCCTTTCGGAGCCTAGATTTCTCCTCTTATGTATTCTCTATGCCTGCTGGCCCCACCTGTCCTTTCCCTGCCTAGCTATCGGCCATTCAGCTTTCTTAGACCAATCAGGTGCCTTAGGCAGGCAAGGTGAAAAGGATGCAGCACATCTTTACATAATTCAACAAGTGCAGCATAAACAAAAGTAACACACCTTTACACAGTCAAAATAATATTCTGCAGCATAAACGAATGTAACACATCTTTGCCCAGTTAATATCCCACAACAGCCCGGCATGTAAATATACTTGTTACACAGGCTGTCTTCCAGTTACAGTACTGAAACTAGCTCTTGTGTGGGTTCCTGAGTTCAACCTAGAGTCCATCTTACTGGTGGCAAAAGACAAACTAACTTAGTTGAAGGGGTCACAAGCATGAAGGGGTCATGCTTTTAAGTCCATCACTTAAGATGCAGATCTCTGTGAGTTCAAGGCCAGACCGATTTACACAGCCAGGACGTGTACAGCTAGGGCTATATGGAGAGGTCATAAACACCTCCCCCTTCAAAAAAAAAAAAACCCAAAAATACTTAGCTGACGTTGCTACTGCACCAGTGCAAAAATGAGGTTAAGACTATATTGTAAGAAAAAAAATTATTTTCAATTAAAAGTATTTAAAGTTAGGTTTGCTGGTGCATTTAATCCCAGCACTAAGGAGGATCTCTGCAAGTTTGAACCCAGTATGGTTGAGTTCTACGTTCTATGGCAGCCAGAGATACATAGAGAAACCATCTTTCAAAATCAAACAAGCACACAAACACACATATACATATTAAAATCAAGTGAAGTCGGGTATTACTTTTCAAGTCCTACAGTTGTTGCAAGGGCATGTACTGGAGTCCCAGTTTCCTGGACCACTTGAAACCAATAGGTCAAAAGCCGCCTGAGAAAAGAGGGAGGCCTGATTCCATCCTGCCTTTAAAAAGTTCTCCAAGATGAGCACCAAAAAACGACAGCATTTTCTTTTCTGAAGACTCTTCCCCTGGTTCTTTCTGCTTGCTCCAGTCCTGGGGGGACTAGCTGTGGCACTCTGGTTTTGTTGAAATCCTCTGGAATACTTATCTTTGGTCTAAAATGATGAAAAACCACAGCAGGCTCAGTCAGCCCGCCCTTCACAATGCCCCTATCCTGAGAGGCCCAAACTCTGGTGCGCTTGCCCTAAGGGAAATAAAGCATTTGCAAAGGCTGTGTGTTCCTGAATGAATTCTGACATAAAATGTCTTTTTCTAGTACGCGATTAAAATTAGCTACAATGATGCTAGAATACAGGATACATTGAGCAAAGAAATGTGACCCTTGCTTATCTGTCAGATTCTTGGCATCTGAGCTTCTTAGACCTCCGAGGCAGCCTTTTAAGACCCTAAGATGTGGGTTCCTCACGAATAGGTGGTAGCCGCCTGTGAATGCGGGGGAAGGGTGCCGTTTTACCATAATTTTGGATTCTTTTAACTCAGTCCCGTCTTCCTCTCCCTCCGGTAGGGGAGTTGCCTCGTCTCCCGCAGCCCCTCCCCCGCCACTCCGCTCGGCCTCCCCTCCTCCCAGCTCCTCTCTGTCTCCCCCTCTCGGACAGCTTTCAGCCCGGCCCTCCCCGGCGCCTGTTTGTGAATGAGATGCTCAGTTTCTCAATGGAGCCGCGGGGGGCTCGTGCGGACGCGGCGCAGGCCGCAGCGCTGGCCCTGAGCCGGGAGGGGGACGCCTTTTCCTCGCTCGCTCGCGCCCGCCCTCCCTCTCGCCGCCGCGGCTTTTGAGGAACTGGGCCGCGAGGCCGCCGCGCAGGTCGCAGGGCCCGCATCCCCGAGGACGCCCGGGCTGGACGCGCTTTCAGGGCCAGCGAGCTCTGCTCGCGAGTGAAGACGCCCCGGAGGCCGGCGGCCTTCGCGAGGGGCTTTAAAAGTTGTCGCTCTCATTATTTCCTTTAAAGAAAAAAAGAAAATAACCACCCCGTGCTGCTGTTAGTTCCTCGGCTGACTTTTTTCCTCCTCCGGAGAGGCGGGGTAGCGCGAGGAAAGGAGTGAAGAAAATAAGAGGCATTTCCTCCCCGCGGGAGCGACAGCCGATTCTCCGGCCAGCAGGAGCGGCGTTGGCAGCCGCCGCGGGCGCCGGGCCGCGCCGGTCCCACCATGCGTGAGCCGGCCGAGAGCTGCTGAGGCGCCGGGCCGCAGACGCGGAGTTGGAGGGCAGGCGGCGGGCTTCGGCGCTCGCGGACCAGTGCTGTCCCCCGGCGGGCGACGGCGGCGGCGGCGGGATGGAGCCGGTGACCGCGCCCCGGCCGGACATGGCGCCGGAGCTGACCCCCGAGGAGGAGCAGGTAAGCGCGGCCGCCGCGGTGGGTGTGTCCGAGCCTCCGAGGCCTAGGCCGGCGTCTGCTCGCCAAGCTGCGCTCGTCGCCCCGGGCCCTCCGCGCTCCCGCTCACGTCTCAGGCCTGCGGGCTGGCCTTCCCGGCCGGAGACCGCGCCCCAGGCCGCCGCCCGTCCAGCTCGGGAGCCGGGGGACCCCTCGCCCTGAGATTCTTATGATTCGAGGCTTCCGCTCCCCTCCCCCTCCCGCCGCTCTATTCCAATGAATATTAAAGTTCCCGAACTGGGGTAGGCTCCCCACGGGATGATTGCAGAACACCTTGCCCCCCGGTCCTTCCCTCTTATAAAGGTTTTGTTTCTTTTCTTGAGGGTCAGTTTTCAAGGGCAAGAAAAGCCATGGGATGGGGGTGGGGGCGGATTCTTAGGTGGTTATCTCCGTTCCCAAGAAGAGGGGAGGTAGCAGCGCTGGTAAATGGGTGCCCCAGTTTCTCAAATGAACCCTTCATGCTTTCCAGACTGCTGTGACGGGCCTACTTAGATCCTGAAAGATCTGCCTCTTCTCCGGCTCCCCAATTCCCTGGCCTTGACCTCCCCATTCTGCTTTCCCAGGCTGGGCTCTTTTCCCTCATCCCCCACTTCCCTGCCCCCAACTCATCTAACTGTCTCCATCTTTCTGAAGCCCATATTGGAGTTCCATTGTCCATTTTTAAAGCTCATGACCTTAAGTTCCCAGAAAGGAGTGGTTGGCTGCATTATCATTTGAGGGGGGTTTAGTAAGGGAGAAGCCTAGCGCTCTTGTAACTTTCCACCCCCATATTTTAGCACAGACTGCTTCAGAGGAAGATAGGAAAACCGGCTAGGATGAGATCTGCTCTTGCTTCTCTCCTTAGCGCTGCTCATACCCAAACATAGCTGTGCTCAAATATGGCCATGATCTGGTTGTACCTTAAAAAAATAAATAAAATAAATGAAAGAGGAAAAGGTGAGACATGCTGGCAACGCTCTCTAACCTTTGTTCACGAGGCCCACATTTGTTAGCAGTCTGTAGAGGAGAGATATTTGGTTTAATGGGCTTATTGAAGACCTGAGTTTTGGGGGGTGGGGTGAAGCGGGGTTTAGACAGGGTTATTCCGTGTAACCTTAGCTTCTTGGGTATTCTGGAACTCGCTCTGTAGACCAGGCTGTCCTGGAATTCTCAGAGATCCCCCTGCCTTTGCTTTCTGAGTCCTGGGATTTAAAAGTGTGCACCACCACCGGATGGCTAGGACCTGATTTCTTAAAAACCCATGATTTTTCTTTTCTTTTGTGGGAATGTTTTTTGTATTTGGTCTCAGACCATACTCTTAGATAAACTCAGCATGAGTAGAAAACTTAAAAGAAATAAATTTTTTTAAAAACAATGATAACAATCTTGGTAACTGCAACTGGGTCTTCTCTGTGTGTGTGTGTGTGTGTGTGTATGTTTGTCTCTGTCTCTGTGTTCTGTCTCTCTCAGCCTCTCTCTTTGTATCTCTGTCTCTCTCTGTGTTCTGTCTCTGTCTCTCTCTTCTGTCTGTCTGTCTGTCTCTCTCTCTCTCTCTGAACAGGGTTTCACTGTGTAGTAACTGTGACTGTTCTGGAATTTGATTTGTTGACCAGACTGGTCTTGAACTAACGGAGATTCCTGTCCTGGCCTCCTGGGTGCCGGGGTTAGAGGAGTGGCACCGCCCGCCCGGCTCAAAGCTGTTTAGCAGTTTTTATTTCACATTCTCCTGCACTCACAAGATTGTAGACTCATTGAGGGTGGGCCTGTGTCTTTGTCTTTTTGACACCTGTGTATGTATATGGTAATGAGGGCTAAATATATTGTTAGCCACACAGTATATTCAGGAAAGGCGGAAAATCCCACACCCATTTTTGTTATCTTTCCATTCTTGATTTAAAAAAAGAAAGAAAATCCTGTTGGTCATAGAATAGAAGCATTTTTTAAACTGTTAATACTGATTATCTTTAAAGAAATCCAGAGAGAACCATTTTTTCCTTTCTAGTTTTTAACTAGTTTTACTACTGATTTTATAATCAGACAACTCTTCATTCATAAAATAGAATAAATGTGGCCCTGGGCTGAGGAGAGCAGAAGAAAGCAGAAACAAGAGCTAACAGTGGGTTGTCTTTATCAGAGTTAACTTCTTTTAGCTTCTTGAGACACATTCTCACTCTGAACTAAAAACTTCTCTCTTTCTATTGTTTTTTTTTTCTTTTTGATTAGTTTCAGAGGGACATTTTCCTTTCTTATTTTCTTTGGGGTTCATCAGTTCTGAAGTTACGAGGCCTCAGCAAGGTGTGCTGTTGTTACACCTGTAACCCCAGCACTTGGCAGGAAGGGGCAGTACCAGCAGTCCAAGGTCATCCCCAGTTTATTTAGTGATTTGTCATTAATTCTTATTTTTATATGTATGCATGTGCACTTGAATGCAGTTGCCCACAAAGTTCAGAAGAGGACAGTTGAATGCCCTGCAAATCTAGGCAGTTATGAGCTGCCTGATGTTGTAGGTGCTGGGACCTGAACTTGGGTTCTCTGGAAGAGCAGTATATACTCTAAAGCACTGAAACATCTTCTAACCTCTGTGTAGTGATTTCGAGGCCAGCCTGGTCATTATGCTGGGCCTGGTTGTACACACCTTTAAGCCAGCACTGGGGAAGAACAGGTAGGCAGATCTCTGTGAGTTTAAAGGCAGCCTGTTCTATATGGTGAACTCTAGGGCTATGTAGTGAGACCCCCCACATACCAAAAAAAAAAAAAGAGACATCAGTGTCATTAGAAAATTTAAAATAAAAATCTAAGGAAAGTAGATACTTAAAGCATTGAATAAGAACATTCAATTCATAGAATTAGTATTGTACTAAAGGTTCCTTTTTCTACTTCATAAGAGAAAAAAAAAATAAAATTAAGTAACTGGTGACCTAGAAGAAAACCCTGACAAAACAAACAGTTATGCCTGATTCCCAAGGACATACTTTCTAGTCATTCCAGAATGTCGAAATATAAATAGAGCTTTATTATTTTCTTTTTCTTTTTGGTTTTCTGAGACAGGGTTTCTCTGCATAGTCCTAACTGTCCTAGAACTCCTTTGTAGACCAGGCTGGCCTTCAATTCAGTCCCCTTGCCTCTGCCTCCTAAATGCTGGCATTAAAGGCATGTGCCACCTCTGTCCAGCCTAGTCTTATTTTAGCTCAATAAAGCTTGAGGTTTTAAATTAATTAGTTAATTAATTTTAAGGCAAGGTCTCCCAATTTAGTCCTGCCTGGTGTGGAATTTGCTCTGTAGAGCAGGTTGGCCTTAATCTCACTGAGATCCACCTGCTTATGCCTCCCATGTACTGAGATTAAAGGTGTGTACTACCATGCCTGGCCACTTCACAGTATCCATCTGGAGTGTTGGGATTATAGGCTTGTTCCACTAACATAAAAGGAATTCCTTTTAGTTGTTTTTGGAGATAGGGTTTCTCTGTGTAGTCCTATCCTGGAACTTACTTTTTATACTACATTGCCCTTGCACTGGTTTCTCCTGCCTCTGCCTCCTGAGTACTTGGATTAAAGGCATGTACCACCACCACCACTTTTAAGGTATTTTTAAGACCAGTCTTGGTGACACTCAGCACTGGGGAGGTATAGACAGGATTTCTGAGTTTGAGGGCCAGCTTGATTTTTATAATGACTTCCAGATCATAGCGAGACCATATTCTAATAAAGAAAAAGAGGGATTTAAAAAAAATTGCTAATATTGCTTGGGTGACTTGGTCCTTATTTTTTATTTCTATTTGTTTTCTTTTTTTTTTGGAAAGGGGGAAATAACCCAGAGCCTTTATTCAACCATCCTCTTGTCATGAAATCCTGTTCTGTAAGGAAATAGGCTATTACACTAGATTAGAATATACTCCTGAGGTGGGGTAGGATGGGGGTATTCATCCTTTTGAAATGTTTTAACTGCTTTACAGCTCCTTGAGGACTCCTGCCTCCTGGGCATGTCTTTCTGCAGTCATGCCAATCAAAATCTTGGACACTTTGTTGCTTTTATTCCTTGTATAAAATGTATCATAGAAAATGTATCATTAGGTTTTCTTTAGTATCTCTTGAATTTGTCAGCTTCAGTCTGTCACCCTCACTTGATCACAATCCCCTGTCCGAACTACTGCCTATCCTAATAAGAGTCTGTTTAAATTTTTTTAATGTTTATTTTCCCCTCAGCTCCATCTATATTTGAGAAGCTAAATCCAGACTATAGGTCTGATCACATCTTCCCCTCAGCCTGCCTGCCTTCCAGATAAGCGCTGAAGGGAGTATTTTGTTTTGTTTTGATGGCTCTGTTGATAGTCCAGGGCCTTGTGAGGGAAAAGCATATACTGTAGCCTTCCTTTTAAGAGGTTTTCATTTCTGAGTATGTTTGTATGCCGTGAGTACACGTACTCTCAGAGGTTCGGAGAGGAAGTCAGATGCCCTGGAGCTGGCGTTCTGGGTGGCTATGAGCTAGCTGTCCAGTGCAGATGCTGAGGCCTAAGCTCAGGTCCTCTGCAAGAACAGGAAGCACTGTAAATTTTAAATACTTAGAGAGCATCTCTAATGCTCTTAATGCTTTTCTACCTGAGAAATAGTCACAGCATCCTCCTGTCTCACTGTGCTTCCTCCTGCCATGGAGTCTGTACGAGCTGCACTCCACTTCTGGGAACACCTCTCCTTTTGACCTCAGTCCTAATCCTTTATCTTTCAGTTTGTACCTCCTTGTGGAAGATAGTCTTAGATCTGTCTCAGTTAGGTTAAACCCCTTCCCTGGCTCTTGCTTACCTCTCTGTCCTTGATTTATCATGAGTTTATACTTCCTTCATTTCGTGACTATGAACTTCAGAAGAGTTGAACATTTTGCTTTTGCTCACCATCATATTAAACTAATTTTTTTGTTTGTTTTTCTTTTTTTTTCTTAAACAACAATTGTCCATCAAGGATGGTGGTACAGACCTATAATCCCAGCGCTGT